TCCATCAGACACCGCCAGGTTGCACCTCAGTCTGTTCAGGAGCTGAGGGATGCCCCAAATACTCTATCGGTGCCTCCCTAATAATATGTGTGTATAGTATGTACATTAGTATTAACACTTTGTGCCTTTACCACCACTTCCTTTACAATGACTACTTCCCAATAGAGTTCTAATTAAAGGAGCAGCTTCTAAAAATGATGATATACCTGTTGTGGCAAGGGCGCACAATTGCTGAGCTTAGATGGCCATGTTGCCTTTTGGGGTAGCTTGCAGCTTGACTGTATTCAATGTTTGTTTAGTTCTGCTTCAGTCTGTTTTTATCGCTTACTACTTCTGCATTTTCCTGCTACTTAAAGGAGATTTTCACTCAACCTCATAGTTCGAGCCGACATGTGACAATAAAACTGTCACATGCCGGCTCAATAGATCAGGAAGTGAGCGAACACATAGCGTCGCTCACTTCTCGATCCTGTCCCTGCAGAGAGCCATGACTGTCACTCACTGCAGGGATTCCCCGCTCCCGTCCTCCAGCGCTGACTGGAGGAACGGAAGGGGCGGGGGGGTTTACAGCTGGCTCTGCCTCTTGATAGGCAGAGCCAGCTGTCACTCACGCAGCTGGGTGGATCTCGACAGTAATGTCAGGATCCGTCCCGACTGCGGCAGTCTCGGTATACCGTGCTCGTGGTATACTGAGCTTTGGGTCACGGGAGGATGCTAGTTTATGATCTCCCGTGACCCTGAGGAGAACGATGGGGAAAAACACTTACCCCATAGTTCTCCTTTCCAATATCAATAAAATGCCATAACACACAATATTGGGACTCTACATGATCAGGGCATTCTTAGTTTACACAGCGAGGTGGGGAACCACTTGGCATCAACAAGATCCTGTATCCTGATTCAAACTTTGATCAGGTGAAATGTCGTTATAAATGGGCAGATGTAGTTCTCGCACAGCTTTAATAACTATTTGACTATTCAGTAGGAAAGCACTGATAGCGATACTAGCATTGGTATCGGTGCTGACAGAGTATTTTGGGCAAGTAAAAAAATCCTGCTGGCTGAATTCCATATTAATTTGTCCAACCCTGTATTAAAGTCTGTGTAAAGACAGAGTGCTGTGCAAGCCTGCCTTTTCAGCATTCCATTCCATGCAAACTCTCTATAGGAAACTTGTATGGTTTCCATCACTTCAGTGTTTTGTTAAGACAAGACAGTAACATAATGCAAAGCTCCAAAACATTACCCTGTTATGTGGACTGCTGCTGAATTCATCTCTTAAAATAACTTGCAAAGATTTCTTTCCTGATACTGTGGGTTTAATAACACGGGAGCAATTTGGTTGATGATTTTGTTTTATTGTGCCATCTAAGCAACATTGTGAAATATTTGCTGAAAGCCATATGTTCATTTTACATTTTTACTGATAATTGTGCAGATGGCTTGTCACACTGGCAGTTTACTGTTTCAGACTAAATAGTTTACATTTTTGGTTGATTTGTGCTTCTCCATTTACATGTATGGTAGATAACGTTACTTCCTGTACCGAGAGGACTAATTGTCTTGAAATAGCCCATGCATTAGTTTTTATTGTAAAAGGTACATGGCATTCAGAATGGAAAGTTAAAGTGCATCTCTGGCAAAACCTTTTAGTTTTGTATATAATGGTGAAGGGTTAGATGAGTGTCAAGCTTTTGTTGCTGTATTTGTTCCCATTAGGGAGATTCACCCCTGTATTTGTACTAGTGATCATTATCATTAAAGAAAGTGAGGAGACATCCAACATTTTAGAGCTGTCCCCAGAACAGGAGGTAGCTAGCCCCCCCCCCCCCAA